CCCCCCGCCCCGGGCGCCCCCCAGAGCCCGGGGCAAGTCCCGGGTGTCCCTGGGAACCGAGGGAGAGGCCGCGCAGCAGAAGGGCCAAAAAGTAGGCGACGGAAGAGCTGGGCCAGCGTCCTGTGACTCTCCCGGGGAGGGGGCTGGGGACACTGAGAGGGCCGGGAAGGCTCCGGGGGGTCGCGCGCGGCCCTCGGGCTCACCCCCTGCTGGCCGGTCCCCGTCCCTCCCCTTCCCGGGCTCCGGGCTCTCTCTCAGCTCAGCGTCGTTCCTTTCTCCCCTCCGGCCCCCACGGCTCCGGCGCGGGGCTCAGTCTTGGGGATTAAGAGAAAGGAGGGAGGGGAAAAAGGAGGGGAAGGGAAGGGGCGGAGGAGAAAGAGGACGGTCCCTCCAGCGGCGGGTGTTGAGTTTCAGCTCGGGACCCTTGGGCCAAACTGCACGCCCCCTCTCGGCCCCTCTCCGCTCACTTGCGGGCTCCCGACGCCGCTGCGGGCGCCTCGGCTGTCGGGTCGGTGGGCTGGGGGCTTAGGCTCTCCCCGCCACGCCCCCGCGCTCCCCCGCCGGCCCCGCGCCCCTCGGCCCTTCTTTTATTAGCCCCACATCTGTTTTTCCCTCGGGAGGGAGCGCGCGCCTTCTGCCTTTCTGGGCTCCTCAGTGGAGACTCTCTTCTCCCTTGAGGCCGCCTTTGCAGTGGCGGCAGGGTTAATCAGGCCGGTCCTGGAGGGGGACCGGCCGGGAGTCTGCGCTGGACAGAATTTCCCCACGAATGCGGCCTGAGTCAGGTCCTCGCCGCCAGCGCTGCTGGCGGGTGGGCTGGGGGTAGGGCCGCCTCACGCTCAGCGGCCAGTCTGGGCCTGTCCCCCGTCTTTACCTTGGCTCGCTCCTCTCCTCTTGCTGCCCGGAGGAGCAAGCACTAAAGGACAGAACTCTTTGAGAGTTGCTGAGATCTGGCCTTGCTGGGAGCTACAGCTGAAAGGACAGGGCTCTTGGGTGTCCACACCTTCCCCTCTCTCGGTTCTTCCTTTAGCCGCACACATCGAGGCTTCAGAGGCAGCAGGGAAGCTTTCCTTCTGTTTTCGAGGTTTCTAGAATTTAAAAAATGAGCTTCAGCGTTTACATTTAATGAATTAACACTCCAAACACATAGACATAGGCAATAATGCTGCTTAAAACCTCATTCATAGATAACATCAGGAATCTAACTAAGGGATGCACCCTTTTCTACTGCCCACATTTCAGACTGAGCTGGCAACCTGGAGGAAGAGGGCTGGGAATAACTGGGTACCTAAGAAGAACCCCTTGTAAAGGGGGAACCTAAGGGTGGGTTAGAGAGATTTTGGGGTGAACATGAGAATGGACACTGTTGGCCTTGCGTGCAGTGATGGTGTGCAGATCTGGCCTAGGGGCTAGGAATTCTGAACCTCAGAACTTAGGATGGCAGTGGAACTTTGAAGTTTCTAGACGCATCTGAAGGAAGCGGTCCCACATCCCTGCTCCATCCTGCGTGGAGGTAGTCTCCTTGGGGAGCCTGGCTGCCTGGAACATGGACATTCAGCTGCTGGGCCTTGATTGATTTGTTATGATCTCTGTCTAAGCAAATTGGGGCCCATGGTGGAGGTGGACAGGAAACCACTTTCTCAAAGATGAAGGAAATAGATGGAGGCCAGGAAAGGTTAAGCAGGAAAGAGGAGTCAGGACCAGGCAGAATGGTGTTTTGGGAGGTGGGCAATGGGTCTCTGTTCCCTGAGAAATATACAAGCCTGCAAGAAGATAAGATCAAGCTTCTGGAGTATAGTCAGTCAGACTTGGAGCGTAAATCCTGATTATTAGCTGTGTGACCTTGGTCCAGCTATAAAACATTTTTTTCCTAAAGATTTATTTATACCTACAGAACTGGGGTACAGGCCAGAGATGCAGGGGTGGTGAGAGGACTTACCAGAGACAGAGTGGGGAGCAGAACAGGCCGATCAATGAAGTACACTGCTAAGGGGAGCAACGGTGAGACTGGAGAGGTCTGCTGCACCATGTGGATCACATCCCTGGCCGGGGATTGAACTCGCACTGAAACGGCTGCAACTAACTTGCAGTGCTGCATCGCCACCAGGGAGGACCTATAAAACATCCTTGAGTCTCAGTTCCTCGAGTGGACCTGAGAACCTCATTGACTTTGGTGAGTGAACATAAGCAAAGTACCCTAATTCCTCAGCAACTGCAATGAGGAGTAAAATATATGTGGAGTTCCTAGGACAAAGACCTTCTGTGGCTTTTCCACTTCATTTTGTCTTCTCCTATCCCCACCCGTGATTTCATGACAGCTGAAATTATCTTTGTCCAGGACAGAAGGAGATTTTCCCCTGATTTTTAAAAAAAAAATATTTATTTACTTATGCATACATAAGTGGGGTACAGGCCAGAGGAGCAGGGGCAGTGAGAGGATTCACTAGAGACAGAGTGGGGAGCAGAACAGGCCAACTGATGAAGTACACTGCTGAGGGGAGCAGCAGGTGGGTCAGGAGAGGTCTCTGACCATGTGGGTCACCTCCGGGGCGGGGATCGAACTTGCACTGAAGTGGCTGCAGCTAGCTTGCAGTACTGTGTCCTTACCTGTTGTGTCACCAGGGAGGGCCTCTCTTAATTTTTTAAAAAAGATTTATTTATTTATGATACAGAACTGGGGTACAGGCCAGAGGATTCACCAGAGACAGAGTGGGGAGCAGAACAAGCAGATGTACTGAAACACACTGCTGAGGGGAGAAGCAGGCAGGTCAGTAGAGGTCTGCCACTCCATGTGGGTCAGCTCCCTGGCTGGGGATTGAAATTTTGCTGCAGTGGTTGTCAGTGGCTTCATAGTGTTGTGCTTCTACCCCTTGAGCCACCAGGGAGACACCCTTTCCCCTATTTTTATGCCTCATCTTTGTTCTCTTCTCCACAGATAGGTTTAAGGTGACTGACTTGTTCAGGGAGAGCTCTGGCTCCAGGTGGGGTTGGAGAAAGCCGAAGTTGGGCAGACTCTGGTGGGTGGCAGCTTGAAGCAACGTGCCCTTAACTAGCCTCAACCTGCTATATTCAGGAAATAGAAAGGTAGGAACCCCTCTATGTGGCTTTCTGGGTCCCCGACTTCTCTCCTACTCTTCCCTCCTGATGGCAGGCTTGGATCTGCTGGACTCTTCCTCATCCCACCTCATGACTTCCCTAACCTGTTCTTGTGCCTCCTGTGGACAGATGGAGCATCTCTCAGGTGCTCACCAGTCCTTCCAGTTCTGTCTTTGGACTCCATAGCACCAGATTACTTGGGCTCAAATGCCAGCTTCAACATAGGCTGGTGACTTTGACGAGCTCATGACCTCTTGGAACCTCTGGTTCTTTCTCTATAAAGTTGGGTAATACAGAAAGCCATCATGTAAGTTTGTTGTGAGGATTAAGAGAATCCTGAGACCAGGGCTGGTCCAGGATGCTCAAATTTTGCATAAAAGCAACTATTATCATTGTTATTTGATGGCAGCCCTGTAGGGGCAGCAGAATGTCAGGGACAGGGTGATACTCATCATCCAGAGCATGTCTGAATCCAGTCGTACCTTCCCACGGACCTTGAAACAAATCTAAATGCTTCGCCATAGCCTGTAAGACCCTATGTGACCTAACCGGGGGTCACTTCGTCACCTCACCTCACCCCTTCTCCCCCTTGCCCTCTGTTGTCCATCTACACCGTCCTTTCTGTTTCTCAGTTATGCCAAGCTCTTTGCATCTCCAGGGTTTGTATGTCTCTCTCCTTCTGCCTACGCCACTGTGCCCAGACCCTTTCCCTCCTCATGTCAAATGCTGTCTTCACTTTTCAAATTTAAGTTGCTCCCTTCCCCAGTGACGACCTCACAATACGGTTTCATTTTCTTCATCGCACTTATTGTTATGAGAAATTATCTTGTTTCTGTTTACCATCTGTCTCCTCCTAAAACATAAGCTTCGGAAGTCAGAGAGCTTATCAGGGATGTCCTCCTCTGCAGTCCTAGCATTTAGAGCAATGTCTAGGATATAGTAGGCGTTCGGTAAATATTTGGTGAGTGGATGAATGAACAGAGGCAGTCAAGACTGTAGGACAAAGTTGAGTGGCTCCTCCTTGGGGATGACCCAGACCTGGGCTGGGGAGGTAGTTGCTGGAAACTTTTTATACTGTTCATTGGGATTCGCCCGGGTCTCCCAGGCCAGCCTGGATTCTTTTAGAAGCTAAGATGCCCTGAGCCTGAGCATCTTTGTAATAAAAGTTGAGAATACAAGTGATTAGCAATCAGTACCACAATTACCTACCAATCAGGGTATGGAGACAGTGTTCTGGAGGTCCCCATCTGGATCAGGTGGTCACACTGTAGCTGCTGGGTCCCAGGGAGGCTGAGGAAGGGGCTGCACGGGGATTGAGGACAGCATCTATTTAGCATCAGGAGCAGAAGTATTGCAGTATTTTAGTCACCAGTGCTTTGGTCTCATTGGTGAGTGTGGGTGAGCTGAAACAGACCCAAGCAGTGTGGTTTCAGAAGCTGAATTCCAGACACTAAGCTGCTGGTTAAGATATTGTGGCCGGGGGCCCTCCCTGGTGGGGCAAGGGGTTAAGATGCAGAACTGCAAGCAAGTCACAGCCTCTTCAGTGCGCTTTCAATCTCCATCTGCCCTGGAGGTGAGGTGACCCACATGGCGTGGCAGACCTCTCCAGTCTCGCCAGCTGCTCCCCTCACCAGTGTACTTCCTCGATCTGCCTACTCTGTTCCCCACTGTCTCTGGTGAACCCTCTCACCACCCCTTCACCTCTGGCCTGTACCCCAGTTCTGTGTGCATAAATAAGTAAATCTTAAAAAAAAAAAAGATATTGTGGCCATCCAGCTTACTGACCTCCCCTTTCCTCGCCTCCCCCCATCTCTCCCCCAACTAAGTACACACACTTCTACAAATCAGGTGAATGGAGCAGAGAGGGCCCCAGGTTAACAGTTAACCAGAGGCAGGGTGGAAACTTTAAGGTAGCTGATGAGGACTTGAATACCTTTCTGAGAAAGGGCTGGAAAGCCGTATTTTAGCTCCTACAAGGGCCTTTCTTGGTCAGGAAGTGTATTTCATCATATTTCCCTTGTCCTTTCCTGCTAGTTGCTGATCTCTCATCCCAGGGGGTGTTCCACCAGGTCCCCACTAGCTTCCAGGTCAGGCCCACGCAGGTGAGGACACGTTGGGAGACACCCTTGATGACAGATGCTGGGCAGACTTTCCTTTGCTTCCACCTCCAGCCTTCTCCCCATTGCCACCCCCAACTCCCCACACCCCTGAGGATTCCCTGGAAGCTGAAATGACTCAGGGATTCCAAAACAAGTCACCCCAAGAGGAAACCCCTCTGGAAAATGTTTCTCATCACAGGGAGTCACCCGAAGGAATCCCACAGACTGCTATTGAGATAAGGGCAGCATCTGGGCACGGGGGAAGCTGGGAGGGTGGCAGAGGTGTGTGCCTCAGAATACAGGCTATTGGGTCAGGCCTGACCGGCACAGGGTGGATGAAGCTGATCCTCTGGGTGACTGTGTGCTTGGAGGGTGCCTTCCCTCTCTGCTTTTCAGGAGTTTCCTCAAAGGAGGTCCTAGTACAGAAGCAGGGTCACAACTAGAGCCTCTCCTGAAAGACAATGTCCTGAGCAACCCAGTCTGGGTCCCAGGAGTATCTGCAAGTGAAACAAGCTGGGATGGCTTCTAGCTCTTTTGAGCATCACCTCTTTGGGGGTTGCTGGGAGCCCTAACCAAGAGATATGGCCAAAGCCATGCTCTAGTTCTGCCCCCCAGGGCCTTGAGACTGAATAATTTAGCAAGATGCCCATAGGGATCCAATCTTCTGCAAGAGCACTTACAGCATTCTCTGGGCTTGGGGTTTCTCAGGGACACCACAAACCACTGTAGGGGGCATGTGCCAGACCAAAGGAACAGGAAGCCAGAGCAATGGATCCCAGCCAACAGGGCTAATCACTCAGTGGGCAGCAATGCCCTGTGACCTGGGGCTGGCTCAGGTGAGATCTACCCAGTCTGGTAAGAAAGCATTTACTGCAGGAGCTTCCATTTGCAGCCAAGTTGACTCCGTGCCAGTTGCTTAGATTTGAGCTGGTCAGGGCTAGAGTGGAAAAGCAGATCTGCCTTTTCCAGGGGCTGCTAATATTTTCTTTGAGTCTTAGTTTCCTATCTGTAATATGAGTTTACCAGTTTCATTCTCACGGTTTTTATTGTAAGGGTGAAATGAATTGACCTATGTTGTAAGGGCTTGATACCATCATGGCACCTGATTCACAGTAGCTGAGGTCACCCATGTCTGTAAGGGTGTGTGCGTGTTGTGGGGTGGGGAGAGGGGGCACAGAGAGAGGTGGGGGAGCAAGGCCTGGTCTTCCTGGCCTCAGGGCTCCTCCTGAGTATCCGGGTTCTTCCAGTCTCCACCTGCTCTCTTCATCCCTGTCCATCAATCTCCTCAGCATCCACGCCCAGTTCCAGGCTGCCCACACTCACCAGAGCAGCTTGCCCCATTTCCTCAGAATGCCCCCGATGTCCTCACTCTTCAGCTTTGGGGCTGCTTTGTCCTAAAGCATTTGAAGGATTCCTTCTCACTCTGCAGCTCAGGGTATTCCTTGTTCTCCTTGTTTATTTCCGGAACCCTTGGTTACCAGAGGTGTATTTTCTAATGGAAAACACATGCAAATCTGAAACACATCATGCTAAGAGACATTTGTGTTTGTGTTGGGGTGAGGGATTGTGGGTGTGGAGAATGAAGGGGTTTGACGGGCAGGAATGAAGAGAAAACTCGGGAGGGGGAGTAGGCTCTGGCCCACCAGAGCCTACAAGAGACCCTCAGTGGGGTAGCCCCCTGCTAAGCTGTGTCTTTAGGGTCAGGCCCAGCTTAGGGTGCCTTTCTGAAGCTCACATAACTCCTCCTGGCTAACAGTTCCCATGGAGGTGGGGTGCTGAGGCTGGATGGGCTCGCCCCATGGCCTGGGAGGGCAGCTACCCCTGTCACGGCCCTTGTGTCCAATGTCCTATGATGGCAGGCTGATCCTGGCACTGGGGCTCAAGCCGGTCTTAGGTGGGTCTTCACCACGCCCCTCCTCTTTCTGGTCTCACCTTCTCATTTATGCTATGGCAACAGTGGGAACAGTCTCCTCCATCTTCTTCCTTCAGACCCTGTGCCTCTGGTCATCAAACCTATAGGGTCAACACCTTTTTTGGAAATCCTGAGGGGTTAGGCCTGTATTCCTAGTCATGGAGAGGTCCAGGAAACTGGCCCTGGAAAGGGAGGGAAGTTAGAGAGTGGCCAATGGACAAAGGGGAGAAGTGTTAGTTGACAGGGGGGTCATTAAGGTAAGGGAGAGATCAAAGAGCAACAGGGTTGACGGCCAAAAGCAATAAAGGGAAGGGAAGTGTTCATGAAGCTGGGTGATGGGGAGGATGGAATAGAAGAGACGAGATCCTGAGTGGGAGCAGCAGCAGGTATCTTGGAAAGACAGCCTCTTTGGAGAGGCCAGAGGTTCCTCCTTAATTTTGGGTACCAAACCAATCAGGGAAATCCCCATAATGCCAGCTCTCAAAGGCTAGGAAGGCAGAATACTAATATCACTCTGACCCCACGCCTGGAAAAGTGTCCATGACAAATTTTATCCAAGAAGCCATCTGGCTTACCACAATATTAATCACAACTTCCACGAGTACAGCATTTTCAGAAGATTTGGAAAGACTCAGGTTTTTTTGGGGTTTTGTTTTGTTTTGTTTTAATCTCAGGCCACTCCCTTAAAGGTAGTGGAAATAAATTTGAATAAACAAAACATCTTTCTGAAAATAAAACCAGGACTCCTAAACTGCTCTAGTCAGCCTGCTCCACAAGGCCTTGCCTCCAGTCAGCCAGTGCAGTGCCTCCCTGGCGAGCAGTAACCAGCATGTACCAGGTAAGTGTGCAGAGACCTGGGCCAGTGGAGCTGAGCGGGAAGGAGCGGGCCTGTTGCTGAGGATGGCGGGAGGCAGGTCTCTGGGGGCACAGGTGCAGGTAGAAACCAGGAGCTCAGAAACAGCTGGGGGACGGGGCGCGGATTAAGTGAGAGCAGTTTTCTCAGTGTCTTTCCCCCACAGGTGGTTGCATTCCTGGCAATGGTTATGGGAGCCCACACCCTCAGCTTGCGGCTACAGAGGGACGGTACCCACTGGCCCAGCTGCTGTCACGACCACCGCAAAGGACACGACCCCACTGAGGAGTGGCTGAAGTGGAACTCCGTGCCCGCGTCTCCGCCAGAGGCAGCCAGCCTTGCTGACAGCACCAAGGCAAACGCCTGCAGTGCCAGTGAGGACGGGCCCCTCAGCAGCAGGTCCATCTCCCCCTGGACATATGTGTGAGTTGCTGTCCTTGTCCCTTCCCCTGGGACAGTGTGTGCCAAGGGTCAGGGGAGTCCACCCCGTTGCAACCTGCCGGGCTTTTTATCTCAGAGAAGCCTATAGGCTCCGGTGTAAGGCAAGGCCCAGCTCTGACTCCCGCTGGGTGATCCTGGGCCCGTTACTCAAGGTTTCACATCTCTCTTTTTTTATTTTTTAAGTTAAAGATTTATTTATTTATATATACAGAGCTGGAATACAGGCCAGAGGTACAGGGGCAGTGAGAGGATTCACCAGGGACAGAGTGGGGAGCAGAACAGGCCGAGTGATGAAGCACACTGCTGAGGGGAGCAGCGGGTGGGTCAGGAGAGGTCTGCTGCGCCATGTGGGTCACCTCCGGGGCGGGGATCGAACTTGCACTGAGGTGGCTGTGGCTCGCTTGCAGTGCTGCATCCTAACCAGTTATGCTGCCTGAGAGGGCCCCAAATCTCTCTTTTTTTTAATCTGCGAAAGAGATGCTACCCTGTAGGCTTTTGTGTAGATCATTTGAGATAATGTCTATAAAATCTGTACTTAGTACAGAAAATGTAGATTCTTTCCTTTTCATCTTTTTTTTTTTGAAGATTTATTTATGCATACAGAACTGGGGTACAGGCAAGAGGTGCAGGGGTGGTGAGAGGATTTGCCAGAAACAGAGTGGGGAGCAGGGCAGGCAGATCAATGAAGTACACTGCTGAGGGGAGCAGTGGGCAGGTCAGGACAGGTCTGTCACGCCGTGTGGGTCAGTTCCCTAATGGGAGATCGAACTTGTGCTGCAGTGGCTGTGATAGTTTCATAGTGCTGAGCTTTAACCTGTTGTGCCATTAGAGAGGGCCCCGTCTTTATTTTTCAATCACTTTCACGGGCAGACTTTCAGAATAAAATGTGAGGGAATCATTATGCTACAGGCACGAAACAGCCCAATACCACATGCTGCTTCCTTTTGGGCCAGGCATGGGTTATAACTATGCCATGTGATGGAGACTCAACTTTTGGGGGCAGCTGGAATTCCAGTTTTGATTGTGAACAGACATTTTTATTCTGTGTGCTGTGAAAATATAATTCTCTACTTGCACCCTGTCATGAAAAAATAGTAGGAAAGCATAGTGTTAAATGTCTTAGGGATCCCAAGCACATTTCTCCTTATGTCTTCTGTCCTAACCGGCTCCTATTTTCATACTCTCCTTAAGTCTAGTTCAGCGTTGGCCTGGGATTCGGGGCTAGATGTGGAAGTTCAGTGGGTAAGGAGGGGGTCAGCTTTGATGGAGACTAGATCCAGGGTGGGGATTCAGGGTCTTTATGCTTTGAAGTGACCTCAGAAGGTTGTCTGGGTGCTTGATTAAATCAGCTTTTGGGGAGGCTGAGTGCCAGAGGGCTGACAGGCTGGAGCTCAGGCTCCTCAATGGGAGACTATGAACTCTTGATAACCACTGGCTTGGTCTTCCCTAAAGTGTGTTCTTTGTCCTGAGCGCTATTCTTTAGCAAAAAGTCATGATGTCCAGTAAGTTTGAGAAAAGCTTCTCCAGCCCCTTCCCTTTAGAGACTCAGCATGTGTTCATCCTAGTGAAGTCTATAAGAAGTCCTCCGCTCAACTCAACATCTCCCAAACTTCTCTGGCCACAGACCCATTTTCTTGCAGGGTATTTTTTAGGGAACTCACTTTAGGAAGCTGGGCTAGCTGAGACCCAGGGCCTGTCTGTCTGGGGTTTTACACCCAGTGGCTGTTTCCACCAGGCTTCTGAAGTCCCAGGCCTTCAAAATACCTACTTTTCCATGATTTTGGTCATGAAATCCTTTCAGAATAAGTGACTAAGTCCTACCATGCCATTTTATGTGTGTGTATAATAAATGCACAGATAGTATTTGGAAAAGCTACAGGGAAAATCAAACAGATCTAATAACAATTAGGAGACAATTATTAAAATTGTAACAACTATAAGAAGAAAATTTCAGGTCAGGGCTCAGCATAGTCAGGTAGGAGCAGAGCTGGTGCCTGCTCCCCGCCCCTGCCGCCCTAAGAGTCCTGTGGGGAAGTCACCCTTTCATCCCTGACCCTCGCGGACATGGGTGGGTGGGGGGATGAATAAATCCCGGAAAGGGTTGGGGGTTGACAGAGCTGGGAGAGTATTTGCCACCCTCGGCCCCCACCTGTTTTCTCCCTTCCTCATCCCTCCACCCAAAACGGTATCATTTCCTTCCTCTGACCTTTCCTCCAGGGCTGGGCCCGCCTCTGCTTTTAGACAGTCCCCTGTCTGCTCAGGCAACCTCCCACTGTGTCCTGACCAGTGCCGCCCCCGCAGGTTGGACAGGGACTTGAACCGGCTCCCCCAGGACCTGTACCAAGCCCAGTGCCTGTGCAAACACTGCGTCAGCCTGAGGACGGGCTCCCACATGGACCCGCAGGGCAACTCGGTGAAGCTCTACCACAACCAGACCGTCTTCTACCGGCAGCCATGCCCCAGGCAGCACGGTGCGCACAGCGGCTACTGCCTGGAACCCAAGCTCTACCCCGTCTCCATGGCCTGCGTGTGCGTGCGGCCTCGAGTGGTGGGCTAGTCGAGTCTGCTCGCAGCTGTCCCTGACTGGAACAGAGCTGAGCCCCGACACCCACCTGCTCAACCTTCCAGAGCGCCACCTTGAGCAGCAGGATCCTGGGGACAGGAATGGGACTTCCGGGAATGGCACTTTGCACTTTTCCGAGTGGATGGGAGATGCGGGAGGAAGTGAAGGGAGCGAGAGCCTGTGGCGCTGGAAGCTGGGGTCCTGGCTCCTCTCTCAGGACAAGGTCTTCGAAGCTCCGATCATCTCTGAGGCCACCACACCTGTCTACCCATTTCCTCCTGTCCCAGCTGCTCGGCCCAGCACAGACACTTTCTTGATATTTCCCCCGTCACCCTCATTTGATTGCTCATTCATTCATTCATTCGTTCATTCATTCACCAGTTGCTAGGTGAGCCCTGCTCTGCACACATCCTGGCATGGCTGCTTGTCTTTTGATATGGGCACCTGAGGAAAAAGCTGTAATGAACGTGGAGAGACTTATCCAAATAAATAATGGATATTTAAAAGTGGCCTAATTTCTCTTTGGTGCCCCGACCACCTTGTGCTGGCTCCCAAACCCGACCCCTTCTCCCCACGGTCAGCCTCAACTACCGTCCTCTTCCTCTGGCTCCGGAATTGCCTGTGTGGCCCCATCCCTCCCCTTCTGGAGCCCCCTGGCCCACCCCTGAACGCCAGGGTGGGGGACAGGCTGCCCTCCTGGCATGCTGGCGAGACAGAGGTCCATTGAGGCACCACAGCGGGCACACAGCACCCCCTTGTGCCCCCAACAATCTGCCTTTGTCCTCAGTCTTGGCTGTAGCAGATTCATCCTGGGGGTGCTGCCTGGGCTGGGCTCCAGCTCTCACCCTCCCTGAAAGGAAAAGGGAGAAAGGATGGGCCAAGGAAGAGGGTTAAGTTTAGGGGAGGGGGAAACAAACTTCTTCAAGTTAAGGCCCTGGGGTGTGGGGGGCCCCCCCGCTAGTCCAGGCCTTTCCTGGCTCACCGCCCAGCTCCTCCCTGTTTCTCCGAGAACCTCCTTCTCTCCCTCTCTCCCCCTGTCCAGGCAGTTGACCACTCCCCCCTGGCCCGCCTTCCCCTCCCCAAGTGCCTCCCCTGGGGGGCTGGTGCAGCACCCGCAGGGGTGCTCTGGGCAGCTGGCGAAGGCCCACTCGGGCCAGCTCCCACTGCTGCTGCTTTCTGGGGCAGGCTGCCTGCTTCACTCTCAGGCTTCTTCAAGGGCCTGCCTGCTCCACTCTCCTTCTCCATTTTTCCAGCTTTCCATCTTCCTCTTTCCCTTGCTGGGCTAGTAGCAGTGGGGTACTCTGCCCGGTGGGCCCTTCGGAGATGCTTAGTGCTTGGGATCGCCGGGACCCTCCCCCCGAAGAAGGGCCTCCTGCAGGGCTCCAGGGCTTCGCTGTGGACAAGACCTTCCTCTCTTCCCTCAAAGGCATCCTACTGGAAACAGAGCTGGTAACAGCCGCCTCCCCAACCCAGAGGGGCTCCTCTCCCAGTGTGACCCGGGCTCCCCACCCCAGGGCTCCCCCCTCAGCAGCCTCCCTCCCCAGGCTTTCTGGACACCCCTTCTGCCCCAAGCGATATGTCCCCAGCTCCTACCCTGCCTTCTTGCTCTTTCTCCATCTGGAAGCAGTTCCAGCAGGTTTTGGTCGCGGTGGGGAGGACACTTTCCTGGGACGTGTAGGGCATGTGTAGGGGTGGCACAGGGTAACGCCAGCCTGTCTTTCCCTGATCTCCCAGATGGCCCCTTCTCGGCATGCCCACAAGTTCAGCTATCAAAAGGGGCAGACTTCCTGCAGCCTCACTCTCTGTTATCTTCTCCCAGAGAACTTCTGTTCACAGGAAAGGTCTTCCCCGAGTCTCGTAGCGAGAACCTAGAGTGAACTCCTCTTCTGTTTATGTGCCAACCTACTGGGCACAGTCCAAGGGGTCCCCAGAGCCCACCGCGGATCACCTTCTCTCTAAATCTTGCTCCTTGCTGTGGACACCAAGGCCCTAGTCATTGTTAGAGGACTTTTAGGCATCTGGGGTTGGGGGTAGTGTTCTAAGGTGGGGTGCCCCCGGCCGGGGCCAGGGGTACCGTGGGCCCCACTCCAGGGATTGGCTTTCGCACCATGCCCTGAGCTCTAGGTGGTGCCCTGGAGTGGTACCTGGTGCCCAGGTGGTGCCCTGGAGTGGTACAGTTTGGCCAAACTGTGGGGGTCACTGAGTTGCAGGGCAGGGGGAGCCCAGTCATTCCCAAATCAAAAGATGTAAATCCTATGGGACTGGCAGTGGTGGGAGGCTGGTACTGCCCGCCATGGGGGAGCTCTCAGGGTGGTGGGGGGGCAAAGACCTGGCCATGCCAGTGTCCGCTTCCTGGAAAGTCCTACTGTTCTGTCTTGCAGGCCCTGACCTTCATCATCTTCATCTGCTTCACGGCCTCCATCTCTGCCTACATGGCCGCGGCGCTGCTCGAGTTCTTCATCATTCTCGCCTTCCTCTTCCTCTACGCCACCCAGTACTACAAGCGCTTTGACCGACTGAACTGGCCCTGTCTGGTGAGGGTGCCTGCCATTCAGTCCTTTTCTTTTCCTCTTAATGCCGAGTTTTCCTTTCCTCTTCCAGCCCCTGTCCTTCCCCTGGGTCATGATTACAGACAGTACCCAGCCCCCACTCCTATGCCTGGCTCAAAACCATTTCGACTCATGCTTATTTCACAGCTCCTGAGTCACTGACAGCGCGAACACACATCTCTTAGTTCTGCTCCCCACTCACCAGAGCCCCCTCCAATCCAGTTCCAGCCCTGCGCCCCTCAGTCCCTGAGCCTGAGACCCTCACTTCTCCTGGTCCCTTTCATTCATCTCTATCTCTTCCCTGGGTGTTCTGTGAGCTCTCCCAGCTCTCTCTGCTTTGCGTTATACCCTGTCGTAGCCTCCCGTGGGGATTCACAGTACCTGAGGGTCCAGTCACTGCCTACCTTGGAAAACCTCAGATGTCCCTGTCTCTGACCTCCCTTTGACCCTGCAACCCCGGTCCCCCAGGACTTCCTCCGCTGTGTCAGTGCCATCATCATCTTCCTGGTGGTCTCCTTTGCTGCTGTGACCTCCCGGGACGGAGCTGCCATTGCTGCTTTTGTGAGTCACGCCCACTCAGCTCTCCAGCCCCTGGCAGGTGCTGTGTACCCTCTGTGCCTCCCCACAAGCCCACACCAGTGCCCAGGGTTCTGGCTCACGCCTTGCCCTGCCCTGCCCACCTTCCTTTCCCTCATACCCAGCGCCCAGTGGCCTTCACTGTGCTGTCTCTGTACCCGCCTCCCGCACCCCCAGGTTTTTGGCATCATCCTGGTGTCCGTCTTTGCCTATGATGCATTTAAGATCTACCGGACTGAGCTGGTGCCCAGGGCCACCGAGGGTGAGTGTGCTCTAGGGAGACGGACACCCCTCCACTCCTGCCCCAGTTACTCCATCCTGACGTCACTCTCCCCTGCCTGGCTCCATCTTCACAGGGGACCAGCAGTGATCCCAGGATACTTGACTCCCAGACCAGGCCAGACAAAGGAGTCTGTGGGGTCCACACATGACTCCTTTGGATTCACTAGACCCTGGCCCACCAGCCCTGACCCCAGGCCTACAGAGGTGGAGCCTGGCCTGAGAAGCCACTGGGATTGTCTAAGGTCTGGCTCCTCGTGACGCTCCAGCCTGGAAGAGGGTATTACGGACATGGGGAGCAGGAGAAAGCTGGTCATTCCACATTAAAAGATGCAAATCCTACTGGTGAGTCTTTGTCTTCCCCAGAAATTAGAACAGGAACGCCAAGGGGTGTTCACGGAGAGATTGCCTGGAGCAGAACGTGGTCCTTCTCCGCGGCCAGGTCTGAGCAATAAAGGAGTGGGGGGTCAGCCTAAAGATGCTGAAGACCTTCTTCCACCACAGACCTCCAAGCACAGGTCTGTGTGCACAGCTGCTTGTGTGTGCCTGGCGGCTGGGCAGTGGAGCTCTGTGTCCAGGAAGGACACAGCATCACAGCATGCCCACAGGTCTGCCTGTGGGTCTGAGGTGGAGCCTGTGCCTGGGGCGTGAGTGGAGCTCCCCCTCGTGGTGTGGGGAGGGCCTGGCCTGAAGGCCTTGGTGGGCATGTCAACCTGTGGCATGACACGAGGGGAGAGGGTCCCAGAATGCTGGTGCTGGTGAAACCCTTAGATATCAGCGGGTCCAGTATCCTCAGGCCCCTCAGGGGAGGCGGCTGTACCAGGGCAGGAACCCAGCTCTCCTGACACCTAGACAGGACTTTCCAGGCTTCATGGCCAGGTCCCTCTAGCTATAGGTCCACCTTCTTGCTCGGCAGACATTTCCTGAGCACCTCCCCTGAGTGGACCTGTGCTGGGCACCGGGGACACAGGTGACAGTGGCCCCGTCCCTGAGCACTCACAGACTGGGGAGGTGACAGGCTAGTGAAGGCATCCATGGCTGTCCAGGATGAGTGCTGCTGACAGCTTGGCTCAGGGGGTGGGGGGCAGGCATGGCCATGGCCAGGCGTCAGCCCCCTCAGCCCGTGACAGCGCTGCACAGCGAGGACGAGCCCGGCCAGTCCTGCGGAGCCCAGCAGCGTCCAGCTCAGTGGCTCGCCCAGGCTGACTTGCTGTCCCCCTTTCTCCTGTGCTTGTTCCTTCCCTGCACTATCTTCTTTCTTCTCTGGGGTGATCTTTCCAGGCACAGGCCACAGCCCCCTAACCCTAAAGCTGGGGACTCTCGCTGGTCATCAGTTCCTGTTGGTGACAACCATGCATGTCTCTTGGCCTGACTTTTCCTGTTCTCCCCTTGGCTCCTCACAGGGCTGACGGCCTCTCCATGGCTAGAACCAACTGGATTTTGTGTTTCTCGGCTCCTCGCCCACGGTTTTATGCACAATGCATTCTCAGGACTAGTGATGACCTCGAGGGGGTGGGGGTCAAGGCTACAGAGGAGGGGTGGAAGGGGCTGAGCTAGGGGTGTCTAGGACATGAGTTGCCAGGTGAAGGGATGAGGGACCCTGACTTGAAGCCTCCTGGGGGCCAGGGGCCTGCTTGGAGCCCTGTCCCTGAGCGGCTATGTGGCTGGTCAGACTGTCCCCGGTGGGAACAGAACAGAAACGAGAACTCCACGCGTTCTCCACACGCTCCCGTGTCCCATAGTGTCTTTGAAAGGTCCAGTGAGATAAGTGGTACCTGGGATTTGACCACCCTGAATATCAGTGTCAGTTTGTCCTAGAGGCTCAGGACACCCTCATGGGAAGGTGCTGACCCAGGAGGCTGGGCTCAGGCCTGGGATGACGGGGAGGGCCTGACCCAGCCCTTTATCCTGAGCCCTGAGCTTCTTCTGGCATCAGTGGGAAATTCATTTTGGAGGCATAGATATCCAGGGTACTTTAACTCCCGGTGACCGCCAAGGTGTGGAGGTAGAGGGTGCTTTCAGCTTGGGCACTAAAATTTTGTCTCCCAATGTCTAGAACTGGCT